TGAAAGTCAATTACACATCTCCCAGACCACTGCCTGACCAAAGAGACTTTCAGCATTGCGTTTTGGGTCTTCGGTCTCTTTCCCTGCTGGAGATGCATTAGTTATCCAAACTGTGGTATTCACTCATTCTGGACAAAACTAACAGATATGTGCTTAGACTAACATGATGGAGCCTAAGATAACTACAATGGTGTCTTAAAATCAGCATCTCATGCAGTACTTTCAGAGATCTTTTGGGGGAGATAATAATGGTGCTGCATGTAGATGAGCTACAAAATGATGGAAATTAAATTTAAATGGCTCACGTTTTCCATTAACCATGCTCTAATTAAACTTTGATGGGATGCACTGGTTTCCAACACAATGTGACCTGAAAGTTCTGTATACACTTGTATGCCCACTTTCCAATAAATGGATTAGGCACAGAGGCTTGTCATTTGTGGGGCTTCTAGGATCCTCTGTCTAGACTGAGGAACAAGTACACTGTATGCATGTTAAATTTATGTATTTATTTTAAATATATTGATTTTTTAAATATTCATTTAGCTTTCCAGGCTTTAATGAGATTATATAGAATGTCTATAAAAAAATGACATGCCACCATGTTTTCACCAGCTGGTTTGTGAGCTACCATTTTTGAAGCTTTGACCTGAGCAGTTACATATATATGCAATCTAAATTTAAAACTGAGGGACATTAAACACTCATACGGTAGTGATTTGTCCGACATAAAGTAGAACTTCTTCAGTAAAACCTGTCATTGGTGACAGAGCCCTCATCAGAAGTGTTAGTATTGGTCTGCACCAGTAAAGAACACACAAAATAATAACTAAATAAAATAAAGCGATGCTGTGCACAGGTGGCACTTGTTTTCTGCAGCCTCTGATGTTAACTGGCAGCCTTTAATAGACTGCTACTAATTGAACCCCAAGCCATACCACTGTGTATTGTTACATGCTGAACTAAATCAATCAAATGGCCTAACCAAACTTGCCATGCTAATCTATATTTCAGTTCCTAGACCAGAACTTCACCAGTACAAGCTGGGAAGCTACCAACAAGAAAACATGTACAGAAAATCTCAATCTCAAACATAAAAAATTCCTTTGTGTGGCTGTATTCTTTTTTACAAATAGTATTAAAGTCACCCATTTGTAAATATATGCTTTTTATCTAACGGATGAAACTTACATCAGTTAGATAAAACCCCTTCCTGCAGAGGGGTGGACTTCATTCTGCTCTTTGTTTGCCTTTCTTTATTATATGGAGAAAGGCAAACAAAGGGTTGTTTTGTCATATACTTCTGTGCAGTCAGAGTTCCATTTGCAACTTTAAACTAAAAGTAATTACAGTTCTTATAGGCATATTGTATACATGTACTTGTGATATAAAGTCTTATCTGGTAGTAACTCTGCTGAGGTACTTTCTATAGACCCTCTAGCCAAGACTGTGGCAAAATATGACTTAAGACTTCTATATAGACTAGACTATATATTCTAGACTTCTATAATGATGAAGACAGCAGTCAAGAAACCTCACGTAGACAGGTCTTACCCTGCAGCCAGTTCTGGGGCAGGGGCTTGTTTGAGAGTGTCCGATGCTTTGTTGACTGGGCAGAAGTTGAAGGTGGAGGCCTTGGTGGTTCTACTCCCCTGCTGCTTAAACTGGTTTTGGTGACATTGAACATCACTTCTCTGTTGGAGAAGGATCAAATAGACAGCGGGGTCACCTCAATGCATATCATGAGTTTCCTGTAGAGGGGTGGACTTCATTCTGCTCTGGAGTACGCCATGGTTAAAGGTTCTGAGCAGGATGAGTATGCTTACATCCCACAAACACAGAGCAAACCCCTGTATGCTGAGGTTTTCCACAGTACAGGGTGGGCCATTTATATGGATACACCGTAATAAAATGGGAATGGTTGGTGATATTAAAGTCCTGTTTGTG